TTAGAATTACGATTTGATGAAATTAAAGTGGTGTTTCGTTGAAAAAAGTGCTTTCCTTTATCACGTGACCTATCTCCTCGCACTAGGTCGCCTACTAGGTTTTCATTTAAATCGACAATGGTTTTTAAATTAGTTAGTATGTGGCCCAGGAGCAAGGAAATTCGCGTGTCATAATGTATATACAGGGTGACCCATCGAAAACTTGACATCAGGGTTTTGAGTGATAATATTACATATATGTGGAAAAACGGAAAAACCCTCGTACAGGTCGATTTTAGTTTTGAGGGGGACATTTTTTTCTCCTACATGCACTACCGTCACTGCAACACTCGAGCAGTGGGGTGAACAACCCCTAAAATTTGAATAGGGAATAATGGTGGAGTGGTACATATTTTGAAAGCCCGTTAAGTTCTCTATCCAACGGCGTCCCGATTTTGAAGTTGGGATGAACCGTTTGGGAAAAAATAAATTCAGGAATAAACCTATACAATAGTTAAGAGCTCACTTGGTCTCTGAAACACTCATTTGCAAGTTTTTGCAATCTATCATTCATTTGCAACGATACTGTGAAAGTTTTTGCTGAGTAGTTTTCGCGGTACCCGAGAAACGGGATCGGTAGCATTTCATGAGGTACATACATACGCAATATCCCCAAAAATTAAACGTAAGGGCTGGTATTTTTGGGGATCGTTTCGTGGGCCCTTTCTTCTTAGAAGGCAATCTAACATGAGAAATGTATCTGGAACTGCTTGAAGACACAATTGATCCAATGTTAACGAATATTATTGAAAATGACCATCATTTTCTGGAAAATCAGTTGATATTTCAACAAGATGGTGCTCCTCCGCATTATGCTATGCCTGTTCGGCGATATTTAGATCAACACTTCCCTGGTCTTTGGATTGGTAAGCGAGGTTTTATTGAATGGCTCCCAAGATCACCAGACCTGCCTCCCTCAGATTTCTTTCTGTGGGGTCATTTGGAAAGCAGAATTTATAGTACACCACCAGCTTCACTAGCAGATTTATGGCAACGAATCACAGAAGAATGTCTCCAAATCACCCCAGACATGCTCCAGATTGTTCGAGAACGTTTTCAACAAAATCTGTATTACATGGAAGTTTGAGGTGCGCATTTCGAGCATTTGTTAAGATGAGCACAGTGTAAGAGAATTTTATTCTTAACTTAATTATGGCTCATTTAGGTTGAAAAACTGACGACCGTTGTTTCGAGAATTCAACGGGCTTTCAAACGATGTGCCACTCGACTTCTATTCCCTATTCAAATTTCAAGAGTTGTTCACCCCCCTGCTCGAGGGTTGACGTGACGGTGCTGCATGTAAGAGGGCACAACGTCCCCCTCGAAACTAAAATCGACCTGTCCGAGCGTTTTTCCTGATCTACGATATTAGTACCCAAAACCCTCATGTCAAGTTTTCGATGGGCCACCCTGTATAAGAAGTGTGTATGTGTAACCTGAAAAGTTCAGTTCAACTACTTTTATTTTTGCCTATGATATTTTTGCATATGAATTTTGCAAATTTTTCGAAAGTCTTGCATTTCTGGAATTTTTTCTCTAGAACTCCACTCGAGCTGACTATTGGGAAGAACTGTTCTCATGTTTTATGGAGGACAATGAAAGACGAAAAAAGCACTATTGTGGAATATACAGGATGATAAGAAAATAGGACAAAATCTCATTCCAGTAAAAAAAATCAAAAATGGTGAATAAAACCATGGCCTATTCGATTCATTATATTCAGAAACGGCCTTCTGGATATCCATTATTTATATTAGACTATTAACTCGATACGTTTTCGAAAATTCTTTTCTAATTGAAATACAGGACTTGTTTCCATCAACTAATTTCCAATATTCATTGCTCAAGTATGAGACACAGAGTATTGTTGTTCACTGAGTGTTTCACAACTTATCTGACAAATTACGAACTCTAGAAAACAATAATGTAAGAAGAATGTGGTGACCAGCATTATCTCCAGATCTGAATTTGATTGAACATGTGTGGAGCCGAATGAAACTTAACCTATCGATAAGACGAGAGGCACCCCAAAATAATGACAACCTTATCCAAGCTTCATCAGAAGAATAGGAGGCAATATCAATAGACTTCATCAACAAACTCATAGAATCTATGCCAAACCGATATCCTGAGTGGATATGAAGTGTTATAAATTTCATTTTCCCTCTCGTTTTACTTCTATAAAATTTTTATGTGATAGACTTCTTATGTAATATCGTAGTTGTTGTTGAAATTTGTCAGATAAGTTGTTAAACACTCAGTATATTGAACAACAATACCTACTCTGTGTTTCATACTTGGGCAATAAATATTGGAAACTGATTGATAAGAATCATCGATATAAGGAAACAAGTTTAGGTTGAAAATTTTCATCCTGTAGCGAATTTCCTAAAACGTCTCGAGTTAATAGTCTAATATAAATAATGGATATCGAGAAGGCCGTTTCTGAAAATAATGAATCGAATGGGCCATGGTTTTGGTCACCATTTTTTTTTTAATTACTGAAATGAGATTTTGTCCTATTTTCGTATCATCCTGTCTATTCCACAATAGTGATTTTTTCGTCTTTCATTGACCTCCACAAAACATGAGAACAGTGCTTCCCAATAGTCAGCTCAAGTGGAGTTCTAGAGAAAAAATTCAAGAAATGCAAGCCTTTCGAAAAAATGGCCAGTTAAGGAAAAATTACGAAAACGTCCCGAGATGAGGTCCCAGTGTATCATAATATGACAGACTTTTGATCAGAAAAAATTTTCTCGAGTTCAGACAGCATTAGAAATGTAGTCCATAGTGTAAAGGTTCCATTTTACACCCTGTGTAAGTTTTATTCTGCGGACTTTTTCAGAGTGTTCTAGCTCTCTTTGAAGCCTATGAAATATCACATCTGATACCGAAAACCGGTCAATTTTTTTATTTTTTTCAAAAAATACAGGTCTTCGAAATAGAGTCAAATTATGAGTGGTCCATTTAGTGTGTTGAGAACTGTATATCGGCCAACCCTGCTAATAGCCAACCTCGTCTTCTCTTGCAGTCTACCGACAGTCTCCACTAGCACAATTTCAGAAGATTGTATATTTTATCTTCAAACTCTTATCGTGTGTGTTCAATAGATATAATTCAATGTTCTTCGTGGCATATAGCCAGGAAAGTAGTTGTTTTCTATTGAATGATCTGAAAAAGAGTTGATATTCTCATCACATAGAGAATGCTAATTCTCAATGTATTGCTTTATGTAAATATATATCCATTTTTGTATGTTCATAATTCATCTGAGAATATTTCTTTTCAACTCTTTCATACCCAATCAGGGGGTTCAAACTTGAACGATGGAAACTTGTGATTTTTATAGACCTCTAATCGCAGATTCGTGATAGAGTCTCAATTCAGAATTTCTTTCCACGCCCTGTATGATAAATGTCAATTTATCATAACCCAAAAGAAAAAAAGAAAATAACGAAGTTGGTACCCATTTCTTATATCAGCGATATTCATTTGTTTCATCTGGTATAATTTTCTAGAGGTTCAGAACAAACCCTACAACTTTTGCGTTCGAAGTTTTTCTCTTCAATGATGAACCCTGTAAAAGCTGTTTAAATATACGGAATGACCCTGTACCTGCAGCTCTCTCTCATCAGTCTAATTTCTCCTTCTCTTCCAGTCTACCGACAGTCTCCACTAGCCGCCGCTGCCCCACCCAGCCGCCCACCCACCTAGCCGATGGACTCGGAAGGCAGCCGGCGCGGCTCGACGGGCGGCGGGCGGCCGTCGAGCGCCGGGGGCGGCTTCTCGGCCGTCGGCGTGCCGCACTCGCTGTCGACGCCCGCCGGGGTGGACCGCGGCGGCGCAAGGACGCCCCCGAGCCCTGTTGCCGGATCTACGCCGAAGCCGGGCGGCAAGATGCTGGCCGTGCGGGTGCAGATGCTGGACGACAGCGTTACCATTTTCCAAGTGCAGGTAATTGATTTTATACGGTGTCTATCATCAAGTCGGCAATATATGGGAAAATTTTTTTAATATTTAGTAATTTATTTTGACATTCTAAAACTTCTTGCACAAAAATCGTAACAGACACTCTGTAATTATGCAACAACAAGTACATAGATATATTCATTATGAAATCCAAATACAATATGCCTTGAATCTATTGGAAGAAATAGGAAGAAGAATGAAAAATATGATGATCCTAGAGCTTTTTGATTCAGAAGATTAGTTTTGCCATTCAGGGGGGAAATGCTGCATCAGTCATGGACACACTCCCTACCCGACTTCAACCGATGACTCCAAAACATCGAAATCTTCATTAAAATGCTCTAATAATTGTATCAAAGATTCTTCGGTCATTTCATATTCGAATCACAAATGCTCCGACATAACTCCACCTGACGAACTTGTTTTACATCACTTCCATGCCAGCCAGTCAGTTAGTACTGGAATGGGTCAGTATTTGATTTCTTATAGCTTGGAGGTGAAAGATATGTATTTACAACCTAGAGGTTTACTGAAATATAGGAACTATTGCAACATTAATTCAATTCTACAAGCACTAAATGCTTGTCCTCCATTTTTGAATTTATTAGTTGGTTTAGCACAGGAAATTTCATCAAGTAAAAATAGGTATCCTACTCCGATTATTGATGGCATGTGTCGCTTCGTTCAGGAATTCAACCATCTGTCGCTGGTGAAGCAGACGAGTGGCAGAAACTTTTACAAGACGGCAAGAAAAGAAGACAGCGTTTTGATCGACACGGTCCCATTCGTGCCCATCTGGATCTGCAAGATGTTGGCTAATTTTCCGTGGGACCTGATTGAGGGCGGAAGACGCAGAAGAGTTCCTCGGATTCTTACTGAACGGCCTCAACGACGGGATGTTCGAATTAATGAAACCAGTTTTGGATTCGGAGAATACTTGCAGTGTTTCGTCTTCTAAAAGACGCCAATACGGTCAGTTGAGATCGAAAATCATGCGAGCTGGAGATGTTTTCACGGAGAATATTCAACCGTTCCTGACTCTGCAACTGAATGTCGACAAAGTGAAGACGATCAAAGAAGCTTTGGAGACACTTGTGAATAAGGAGCAGCTGGAAGGATTGACTTCTCCTAACACAAATGAAGTGGTACAGGCGTGGCAGCAATTGATGTTGGATGTGCTGCCAGTCATTCTCATTCTGCATCTGAAATTCTTTGATTTCAAGCCAGATGGCTGTACGAAAATCATCAAGGCGTTGGAATTCCCTGTCGACCTGGAAATCGAATCGAGGTTGTTATCTTCAGTCACAAACGCCCGAAGGAAGACAGTATATGTTGTTTGCCGTGGTCTACCACGTCGGCCATAAGGCAACCAGGGGCCACTATTTTACCGATGCCTTCCAAATGGAACACAGCTGTTGTTTGCGTTTCGATGGCGCCACCGTTAGGACAGTCACCGAAGAGCAAGTGTTGAAGTCGCAGGACACACAAGTGCCTTATTTACTCTTCTACAGGCGGAGGGATACTATCGGGTGGAATAATTGACTTCTAGGATGGGATTTGTTATTTTTTTAACAAGTTATCAATGTATAATCAATGTATAACCCGAATATTTTGAAGTACTTATACTGATTACTACTGATTATATTATTATTTCTTGACATATTATGTATTTGGGGTTTGTCTGCACCATGACTAGAATTGATATACAGGGTTGCTGATATGTATGGAAACAGGTGAATATCTTAGTAACATGTTGTTGGATTTTTTTGAATTTATGTACAGTGTGATTTCAAAACGTGGCGGATTTGGAAATGTTATAGCCAATGTTGCCACTTTTTCAGTTATTCCGGATTTTTTATTAACTTCCTTATTTTGAAAGAAACACCCAGAACTCTATTGAATTCTCAGATTCTCCTTGAAGAGCTGATTCCATCGATCTATCACACTTGGGGGTCTAGCGGGAATGATTACATAGGTATAGGGTGTTTAAAATCTAGATTTCTCAACTTTAGGATTTTTTGTGTCTAAACTATCCATTATCGATCGAAACCGCTCCAATGTTCCTATATTTTCTTTTGATTTACAATTTACTGACATTTAATTGGAACAAATACAGGGTGGTTCAAGATTCAGAATTCTGATCACCCTCTGTATCTGTTCCATTTAAATGTCAGTAGATAGTAAATCAAAAGCAAAGATAGGAATATTAGAGCGGTTTTGATCGATAATGGATAGTTTCGATACAAAAAAATCCTGAAGTTGAAAAATCTAGATTTTAAACACCCTATACCTATGTAATCATTCCCGCGAGACCCCAAGTGTGATAGATCGATGGAATCAGCTCTTCAAGGAGTATATGAAAATCCAATAAAGTACAGGGTGTTTTATTCAAAATGAGGAAGTTAATAAAATTCCGGAATAACTGAAAAAGTGGCAACATTGGCTATAACACTATCAAAGCCGCCACATTTTGAAATCACACTGCACATAAATTCAAAAAAATCCAACGACTGGTTACCGAGATATTCACATGTTTCCATACAAATCAGCGACCCTGTATAATGATGTACGGTCTCAGGAGTTTGGTAGGTTAGCTGATAAAAACGCCGATGGTTCAGCAAGTTCATTTGTAGCAAGTTCACAAATCACGTGGTTGAGCGAAAACTGGAAAATCTAAGTATGAAAACTAATGACTACCAGGACCGTGTATCACTTGATATAAAAGGCCTATTTATGAAATGCAGGCACCAGCCAAGAGGTTCCAAAGGAACATTGGGCACGTGTACAACCAAAAACAATGAAATTAAAATATCGAAACGAGTAGATGAAATCCCAACCAATTTAGAGAAAAACTACTAATTCACATTGGAAAAAACGTCATTTGTTCTCCACCTACATGAGATTGGACGTTCGAGATTCTCAAAAAATTCAGATATCTAAATCGAATAATAAATACATTGAATTTCATTATGATTTTTACTTATTTTTGTCATTGTTTTACAATGTTTCCATGGAGTACTCAATGTAAATATGTTGATAAATTAATTTCATTGCTATGCGGATGCAATTTTCTCATATCGGATTTCCAAATCTAATTTTCATACTCCAATTACCAGAATCATGAAGCATACATCCTGATCCTGTATCTGAAGGCTCTATTGCTTATAATTATTTCTGGCACATCTCCCACAATGCTGACAATCATTTTGGACTTATCTATCAAATGATTCTGAATTAATTGGTATGTCGACTATCACATTGGTCGCGAGAGTCGACAAAAGTTTTCTACAAGTTTGATGATCGGGCAAACATTGTCCCAAAAATTCCAACAAACAAGGTTGTCGCCGAACAGTTTGTTTGTAATCGTCAAAGGAAACTTTTCCATCTCTATCAATATCCATTTTTTTAGAAACTATGTCGATGAGGTCTATAACTGCGTCATCATCCTCGTGACCTTGTGGGGTCAAAATCGAACCTTTCAAAAACCTGAAATTAAGGAGTACAGTGAGTGGTTACATTATTTGAATGAAACTTGCAAAAAATCCTCGGGGGCGTTTATTCTTTATTTTTTTGACAATTATTCAATACCACGTGACCGTTTTTAAAGCGGCGTATCATTTCTGCACATTTCGGAAAAATTTTGATTCATCCCTGGTAGCATATTACGTGGGTTGTTGAAGGCCCTGTAAATAGTGTAAAGGGTGGGGGCAATAGTGAGTGTGAGCTTGTTTGCCCAAGTTCTATGAGTTCTATGAGGTACAGGGCGATTTCGAAAATTTATACTTTTTTGAACCACTTCTATATCTACAAAGTAATTGAAGTTCGCGCTAAAACGAGCGCTAAGAACTACGTCTCACAGATAATTCTGCGCTGAATCCAGTGGCGTACCCCTTTTTTTCGGGGTACGGTTTTGGAGATACGATAGAAACTTATACATTTATATATTTTTTAATGGAACACCCTATATTTTACTATTTCATTTAATTCGTATTTTTGTACCCTTTTAAATGATGTATAATACTATACAGGGTGTATCTAAATAACACCGAAAAAATTCAAGATATTTTAGGAAATGAAGTTCATATAAACATGTGTCCTAACTTGCTTCGTTTTCGAGATACAGGGTATTAATATTTCCATGAAAGATCGTTTTTTTTATTCATTACCCAATTGTCCAGTAATATGGAGCTTCTTCGGGTGCAATTAGATTCGAAATAATATTTCCAGTGGCGTCACAGTGGGTAAATTAATCGATATTCATGGTGAATGTCATTGTACAGGGTCATTCCGTATATTTAAACAGCTTCTACAGGGTTTATCATTGAAGATAGAAAAAAACTTCGAATGCAAAACTTGTAGGGTTTGTTCTGAACCTCCAGAAAATTATACCAGATGAAACAAATGAATATCGCTGATATAAGAAATGGGTACCAACTTCGTTATTTTCAATGGAACACCCTATATATTTTTCGAAAAAATTCAAGATCTTTTCTTCCTGATTCCAAAAATATATTGGTCATTGATATTTGGTTCAGCCGTTTCCGCGATGTTCGAGGTTGAACATTTTGGATTTTCTTTTAATTTGATTTCACCAAATCCACATGGATACGAAGAGATTCAGCACCAGGGTCGCAAATCCCTTAATGTCTGGTGTGGTATTTTGAAAAGCCAAGTGATTGGACCAATTTCCTTTGAGGGTTCTTCAGCAGGAGATAGGTATTTGCAGTTTTTAAACAATGAAATTGAAGATCTGTTGGAAAACCTCCCACTCAGGCAGTATAATGAATTGATCTGGCATCAGGATGGCGCGCCACCTCATCAAATTATGCCCGTACGGCATCACTTGAATGATCGTTATCAAACGTGGATCGGAAAATTTGGAACAGTGGAATGGCCGTCGAACAGTCCAGATTTAACACCTTTAGATAACTTCCTATGGGGCTATTTGAAGAATGAAGTGTATAAGGAAAGAAGTAGAGTAGAGTAATGCATTATCATATTGAACAATCATCACACCAACTCCATTAGCAATTCGATAAATAAATTGGATAAAGACTACAGAAAATGTATACAAAACAACGGTGGTCACATCGAACATCTGTGAAATTGCATCTCCTTCAGTTATAAAAGTGTTTTTTTTTCTTTCATGGCAGTTGCGATTTGGTAAAATCTAAAATGTTCAACCTCGAATATCTCGAAAACGGCTGAACCAAATATGAATGACCAATATATTTTTGGAATCAGGAAGAAAATATCTTGAATTTTTTCGAAAAATATATAGGGTGTTCCATTGAAAATAACGAAGTTGGTACCTATTTCTTATATCAGCGATATTCAATTGTTTCATCTGGTATAATTTTCTGGAGGTTCAGAACAAACCCTACAAGTTTTGAATTCGAAGTTTTTTTCTAGCTTCAATGATAAACCCTGTAGAAGCTGTTCAAATATACGGAATGACCCTGTACACCACTGGTTTTTCTGAGATTCATATTGAACCATAGAAATAACAACTTTTTGATCCTCTGTGTGATTTTTGTATCTAGCTTAGTTTTTGAGGAAACAATAAAAATTCGATTTGACTCCAAATTTCAATGTAGGTGTTTTCAAGACTTCCATTGAGATTACTCAATAACCCCAATTAGAATCATTTTGAAATTTTGGAACTTTCTCAGTCTTCATCCATACTGAATTTTGGCACCATGAAAGCTTATACCGGGGGGTTATTAATAAAAACAATTAATACTTCCAAATTCAACATCCTGTATCTCAAAAACGGAGCAAATTAGGAAACATGTTTATATGAACTTTATTTGCTAGAATGTCACAAGGAAACACTCCCTTGAATTTTTTCGGTGTTATTTGGATACACCCTGTATACAGCTCATCGTATCCACCGTACACGTTCGGTGATGCCGTCCGCCCAAACTTTTTATTCAACTATAGGCGACTGAGATTAAGATCGTAGCGCCAGAACGGCGAATGTCGGTACTACTCTAGGGGCCATTGGCGGATTGTTTACATTCTTTGGTAATGGTGTTTATGTTCATTTCGTTTTGAGTTTTCAAACGTTCAGCTTTGTTATTTTCTATTTTCGAACTTTGTATTTTCCAGCGATCTATTGTGTTTTGATTGAGGACTATATTATCTCTGTTCAACATTAGATAACCTCGCTACCTCTAGTTGAACTCCATATATACCAACATACATAAGCTGTAAGTTTTTATCATTATTGAACAAGAATTCTCATGAAACCTGTGTGGGATGTTGATTTCCAATTCTAATATATGGTTGGGATATTCCCCTGACAGCATGATATTTTTAAAAGAAAATCCAGCATACTTTTTGGGAATAAAATGTTCTTTCG